GCCAGTGTTACCCTCAAGCAGGGGCTGGGATGGTCCTGGGAATGAGGACAGAGGACAGAATCTGTAGGAGCAATTTCTGGGTAACTGGTCTGGGTGCTTTGTTGAGAGGTGGGGAAGGCCAGCTGCCGAGTCCAGGGGACATCGGACGGCTGTTGCCTCCCTCCTGTTCTGTTCTTCCCTCTCCCGGCTGAATCCTGAAACGCCAGATGCCAGGAATGCTGTTTGCTTTTATCCATCTGCATTGCTGATCATTTTTGAGGCCTTGTACTGACTGTACTGCACATTATGAATTGTGTATGTTCATTTCTTAGGTGGCTTACTTTCAAGTTCATACTGAAATTAAGGCTCATAAGGAAGTACTGTTCATATCTGTGGTCTTTGTAGCATGGAGCCTAGTCATCCACTCCTCATTGAGACACTAGGGGAAGATTGGAGGCAGTTAGCCGGTGACTATCCTGCAGGCGCTGTGAGCCGGCTCAGAGAGGATGGGCACTACCTGCATCTAACGGTGCTCAGAGCAGAGGTGGGTAGAGGCAGAAGAGTAGGAGTCTCGAGTTGTGGCCTTCACAGGCAGAGACAGGAGAGCAGGCCCCTGCTAATTACTTGTAATTTCAACAGTTACAGTTGAAACAACGGTATAAATATGGCCCAGGCGCTAGGCTGGCAGCTGAGGCTGCAGACACAGCGAGCAGGGCCCCACCCCGGCCCCTTGCACACAGCGCTCACCGGCTCTCTCTGGCAGGTGTGAAGCAGCAGCTAGAGATGGTGCGGCCCGGCTTGGGGATATTCTCTGTCTTCATCTGCCTACGAGGCACCAAGAAGGACCTGGGGCTGCAGGCCACCAACTACTATGTTTATTTTGACACAGACATGGACAAGGCGTAAGGCGTGTGTGTGTATGTGGGGGGAGAGGGCGCCAGCATGGGCCCACAGCCCATGGGACCCTTGCTTCTTCCCGGGATGCCGGGGAGTCAGTGCAGGAGATGGAATGGGAGGAGATGGGCAAGCACTGCCTCCAGGAAGGGCTTTTGTGCACCTAGGCGGTCCCTCAGCTCCATCCCTGGTGGTGAGGGGGTGTCCGCGGGGATGAACTGTCCTCGGGGAGTGCTGGTGGCTGGGAGGACCAAGGTCTTGGGCTGGGCAGCCACACTCCTCTCACCCTCAGGATGGAGCACTACCTGTCTTTGCCGAGGGAAAAGGCTGCTGCACACATGCCCTTTCTCTTAATTGCTCCCTCATCAGCTAAGGACCCGACTTGGGAGGACCGATTCCCAGGTGGGGCCTGAGGTCCTGAGGTCCCGGGGAGGGGGTTGGGGCGGGAGGGACCAGACAGCAGTAATCCAGCTCTGCCTCTCCAGACCGGTCCGCAATGGTCTTGCTGATGCCCACCCGCTATGAGTGGTTTGCGGAGTGGCAGGAGGAGCCCTGCGGAAAGCGGAGCAGCGACTATGAGAACCTCAAGTCCTCCTTTGTTGAAGCCTCTCTGTCGATTGTCCTGAAGGTGTTCCCACAGCTCGAGGGAAAGGTAGGTAGACCACATGATGTACCATTTCTCTCCTTCCTTTGGGCCAGGGAAATATCTCAGCTGAGATAACTGAGCTCTGGGGAAGGCAGGGAACCCATGCAGGCTATCAACTCATTCAAGGAGAGCAGAAGAGGAAAGATGAGCATCTCACAAGGTCTCACTCCCACCCTGTGGCTTTTTTTTTTTTTTTTTTTTTTTGCCTCTTAGGTGGACAGTGTGGCCGGAGGATCCCCGCTGTCCAATCAGTTCTACCTGGCCGCTTTCCAGGGAGCCTGCTATGGGGCTGACCACGACCTGGGCCGCTTGCATCCTCATGCCATAGCCTCCATCAGGGCCCAAAGCCCCATCCCCAACCTCTACCTGACAGGTACACGGACAGCCCCATTTTGCCAGGAGCTGTGCCCCTCGGCCTCCATATCACCCACAGTCCTCTATTCCTGTCCTCAGGTCTTTCTGCCCCTGGGTGACCCCAGCACAGAGGGATGGACACAAGAGCCCTCGCCCTCTCTCACTTGCAGCTGCTCATGGGTCTCTCTTGTCTCCTAGGCCAAGACATCTTCATCTGCGGGCTGATGGGGGCCATACACGCGGCCCTTATGTGCAGCAGTGCCGTCCTGAAGCGGAACTTGTACTTAGACCTGAAGAAGCTTGGTTTAAGGATCCAGGCACAGAAAAAGAAGAATTAGTTGGGTCAGGGATGCACTAGATGAATTTGGCCGGTGCTTGTGGCACAGCCTGGCTCAGCCGTGTCTTTCAACATTTGTTTCTGCTCACACGAAGCACTCTCATTCATTTTTTATTTCTGAATGGAGATCCGTTCCACAGTTCTCCCACAGATCCCAGTTCTTAACTGAAGTTCTTCTAGCTGGGGCAGGGGATGATCTTCTATACCTTTCACAACGCACTTTTTTTTTTTTTTTTTTGCTTTTTTAAAAAAATATATATTTTATCAATTTTTTACAGAGAGGAAGGGAGAGAGATAGAGAGCCAGAAACATCGATGAGAGAGAAACATCGACCAGCCGCCTCCTGCATACCCGCTACTGGAGATGTGCCCGCAACCAATGTACATGTCATTGACCGGAATTGAACCTGGGACCTTTCAGTCCACAGACCGACACTCTACCACTGAGCCAAACCGGTCTCGGCACAATGCACTAGCTTCTAAAGGCCCCGTGTGGGCTGCTGAGTGGGATAGTCTTAATGTCTCACCCAGCACTGCTCTGCACCCCATACCCATACCTCCTAACAGGCAAACCAAATATTAATTTTTGTTGTTAATTCTCACTCGAAGATATTTTTTTCCTATTGATTTTTAGAAAGAGTGAAAGGGAACGGGGGAGAGGTAGAGAGAAACATCGATGTGAGAGAGAGACACGTCAATTGGTTGCCTCCTGCATGCGCCCCATCTAGAACCAAGGTATATGCCCTTGACTGAAATTGAACCCAGAACCCTTCAGTTCTCTGGCCGACACTATCCACTGAGCCGAACCAGCTAGGGCAAACTGAATATTCTTGAAAGCATTGGTCCAACTGTCCTGAGGCTTCTCTAATCACTCAGTGTTCTGCTGCAGTCTACACTGTTAAGGAAAAAGGGTGTCTGACAAGGGTTAGGCAAAGCCTGGGCATCGTTTTGATTATAGGCTCAGAGGCCTCCATGTCCCATTTTTTGCTGGTTCTAATGGCTTGCTCAGGGGTGGAAACATGCCTGTGACAGGTTTATTGTGGTTGTGGGGGCTGGAAAAATAGCAAGATATCAGTTTGCAAGGTGTGTGTTTAGAAGTTAATATTCAATTAGTATGCAGCAAAGGTCCTAGATTTGTCTTCCTTATCACGCTCAGTGTGGCAACACTGACACACCCTTATGGAGCTTATACCTGAGCCTCAAGGCTTATCTTTCAAAGATACACAGCAAAGGGTGACACTGCTAGCCAGGGCACAGGACTGGAAAGGTGCTGCACCGGGGTTGAAGCAGGCTGCAAGGGCGTTCCAGGCCAAGGGGACAGTAGAGGACAAGTGCCGAGAGTAAATGGATGACCACGGGCCCATCTACCTCCTAGGCCTAGTCCATGGGCTGCCTGGTGGGGAGGATTGGGGCTGGAAATCAGTCACCATCATAACACACAAAGCTACAGGATGTGTGCGAACCCTAGAATGGGATTTCCCGTTAATTGGAGATTGGGTGGGAAGGTAAATGAAGACTGAAGGTTAAAAATAAAATTACCTTTCACTTGTGTTAGGCCTCCTATTAGTCAATTCTAAAACAATAAATTCAGTGATTTTTATAGCTTTACAATTGGAAATTTATTTGTTTCTGCAACGATACAAAATTACATCAAGTGGCATTCACAGAAGCTCAGTAAAACATTAGATACTGAAAAATACTTATCATTAGACCAAATAAGCTTTAAAAATAATTATAGTTACAAAAGCTGAAAATATAAAACACTGCAAAACAGTGGCACTCTACTAGGTGGATAAACAAGGGAAACAACATTAATGCAGCAGATTTTGGAATCCAAGGAATATCTATCATATATACACACATCTTCTAACAGGAGTTTGGGATTATTTAGGGAATTTACATCTGGCTTGTGAAACTAGCTGAGTTGAGATTCAGTCTTGGCTCTCGATATACACTTAAAACTGAAAATCTCTTCCCAGGATCCTTCCTTAAGCCAGACCACGCCAAACAACCTTCCCAGCAAGTTTTCAGAAAACAGCTGACAGAACTACAAGGACTGATCTATAGCACACTCTTCCCTGTTCATATGATTCAGCATGTTCAAGCATGTTAGCCTTCATCACACGAGGCACTGGGTGTCGAGCTACCCTGTAGAAACAAGGGACAGGCTTCCGTTTTTTAATTTAAATGACATGAAGAATAAAAATAATTTTAGAGGTTTAGAATTCTATCATCAAATATTTCTTTAAAAGCCATCATGGGAAGCCCAGCCGGTATGGCCCAGTTGTTGAGCGTGGGCCTATGAACCAGGAGGTCACTGTTTGTCTGTCTGTCAGGGCACATGCTCGGGTGCAGGCTCGATCCCCAGTGCGGGGCCAGCAGGAGGCAGCCGATCAATGATTCTCATCGTTGATGTTTCTCTCCTCCCTCTCTGAAATCAATTTAAAAAAAATTTTTTAAAGCCATCATGGGAAAAGATATGTCAAAATATATATAACTAATTGTCAGGTCATTCTAAGTTATTTTAGCCTTTTGAGGTAAGACTGGCCTTCCATTTCTCTGGCTGGTTAGAGCATTGTCCCCACACACTGAGGTTGCAGGTTTGATCCCCAGTCAGGGGACATACAAGAATCAACCAATGGATGGATAAGGGGAACAACAAATTTATGTTTTCATGCTCTCCTTTCCTCTCAAAAATAATTTAAAGACTGGCCTTTCACTCCCTCAAAGTCCAGAAATGGACTCTTTAAATATTCTACTCAATAATCTATCAGGAAAACAAGTTCCTCTACTACATCCACAACTGAAGCATAGATTGCTCTAAATAGAAATCATCCTTCAACCAAAGGCTGGGCAGGAGAGGAAGCACACAGCTACCTAGAGGGGTGCCTCTCCTGGTTCCCTGTAACTTTCCCCGCCCCCCTACCCCGGGCGCCCGGGGCTTGAGAGATGCCTTAGCCAGCTTGCCTTCATCCAAAGAGTCTCTAAGAAAACAAAAGTAATCCTCAAAAAGACAACTGCCCAGAAAACAAGTTTTCCTTTGGTGTGAGAGATTTCCTTTAGCACAATTTTTAAAATGAAACTTAAATTCTATACTCTCACCACAAGAAATTATATTTCTCAGACTCATAAAGAGCATATAATCTTGCCTCTAAGCCATGAGGGACACAGACGGAAGCTTCAGATCAGGGCAAGTGTTTTAGAAAGGGCAATCTGGTCTCTATGCACACAAGAGAAGATGGACAGGAAAACCAATAAAGATGGCTCCTGATACAGAGATCTGGGGGAGAGGTGAATGGGTGTGGGACAGGGAAGCAAGGAAAATGGAAAGAAAGATGGCAGCTTGAGACTTTTTTTTTTTAAGCATAGGATTTTTGAGACGAGATAAAAATGATAAAAGTTTGTAGTTTGGAGTCGAGAGGATTAAAGAAATTGGGCAGTTGAAAGGGCCAGTTTAATCAGTAGGAAAAATTCAGTTTTAGAATTTTTAGGACAACCATGTTGAAATAGCACCCAACAGGACTGTTTCTTTGGGAACTATGCCAAGGATAAAGACCTGGGAGTCACTCAGAGGATGAAGAATGAATTTCTGAGGAGACAAAGGAGTTCTTTTTGGTTTAAAAATTTGTTGTTGTTAATCCTCACCTGAGAATATTTGTCCATTGATTTTTAGAGACTGGAAAGGAGGGGAGAGACAGAGAAAGAAACATTGATGAGACACATCAATTGGTTGCTCCCTATACATGACCTGAACAGGGCTAGGGATTGAGCTGGCAACTGAGCTATGTACCCTTGACCAGAATCAAACCTGGGACCCTTCAGTCCGATGCTCTATCCACTGACTCAAATTGGGTGACAAAGGAGTTCTTGACATCAGGACACTTTCTCAAAGAAACCAAAAGAGGCGAATTTCTATTTGGATGGTCAACAGTGTCCAATTCTATCAAGATCAAGACTAAGTTTTGAGAACAAGCCATTGGATTTGATGATCTGAAACTATGGAACAACATTTAGTAGAAAGACAGGGACCAAAGTGAGCTTGTAAAGGTTATGAAGAGAGTGAATGACAGTAATGGAAGCAACACTCACTAAAGAAGTTGAAGAGCAGACTGAATAAGAAATAGGATGGGTGGGCGGTTGGGGGTGTTGTATAAGAATGAAGGCTGGAGAAAAGTGTTAGTGTAGACAGGCAGAAATAGAAAACAGAGGAGCAAAGACAGGGACGGGGAGGCAGAAAAGGGAATACAGTAACCATGGTCTTAGGGTATGCTAGGAGAGTCTGATAGAAGAGTCCCCAGGTTGGAGGAAAGTATAAGACTGGTGCACAAGTAAAGAAATGATGACAAGAAGAACATTCATTCATTCTTGACCTCCACAAACAGGTTCTGCAATGAATAAAAAAATCTCAACTCAAAGCCATGAACTGTTGGTTCTAAGCAAGGTGGATGATAATATGACAAACACGTGGTCCCTTCTTTAGACTTACTTCTTCAATAACATAGAATTCGTCTTATTCCCCTCACTTCCAACATTCTTTGTATTTCTTGAGATCAGATACTCTATTTCAGTTTTTCCTTTGCAAAAACAACTCTTTAGGCTCTCTGTAATAGGCCAACATGACTAGATGTACATAAAACTTCAAACAGTGTGACCTAAGACACTACCCTCAGTTACCCCAGAGGAACTCTGAATTTCTTAAGTTTTAGTAACCCCTCCCATAGGATAGAATAATTTTTATTAACTACCCTTACTTAGCATTTTATATTAGACTAGAGGCCTGGTGCCCGAAATTCATGCTCTGGAGGCGGGGATCCCTCAGCCTGGCTGGCACCCTCTCCCAGTCCGGGACCTCTCACTCCTTACCGCTCAGCTTGCTGCTGCTTAGTGCTGCCACGGAGGCGGGAGAGGATCCCACCGCCACCACTGTGCTTGCCATCTGTGAACCTGGCCTCTGGCTGAACGGTGCGCCCCCTGTGGGAGCGCACAGACCAGGCGACAGCTCCTGCTTTTAGCGTCTGCCCCCTGGTGGTCAGTGTGCTTCATAGTGACGGGTCGTTCTGGTCATTCCACTGTCATGGTCGCTTAGGCTTTTATTATATAGATGAGAGGACCATTATTAAGGTTAGGGTAAGGAGCCTGGTTTCTAAATGTGTCCTTTTTGTCTGTTTTAGGCAACAAAGGCAAAATAGAGTTTGTGGGGAACCTATTTCATAAAAGTTCTTTGAAAAAAATGCAGACCCAAACCAAAACCCTCCTATTTGTTTTTTTGCACATGAACTTACTCTATTTCAAAAAGTTCCTGTTATGGTTATAAGAAAAAACAGTGTTTCAACAATCACAACTTTTATTTCTAAAAATCTGCAAAGGGAACAGTGGCTTTACAGCTCTAACTCCCAGAATCCCCAAGTTCAGTTTTATACTCAGTATCAACCAAATGGAAGCTGATTCACTTTGTCTTACATAATAGGAAAATGTGCTGGACAGGTTGAGCCTGCAGGCAACAAAGCACTTTTTAAAGCTATTGTTTTGGTTTGCTAGGGAAGCATTTGAAAAGAATTATGTGTTTAATGTAGCTCTTTGCCCAACAGCATTCACCTTGTAGATCTCTTGTAGGGCACATTCCCCCCAAAGAAAGAGGCCCTGGTGGAAAGTATCTCAAGCAGCTGAGTTTTCTCTTAGGTCTGCAAAAATAAATAATGGCGAGTGCAATGCTACTTTCTAGGGGTAATTTCACTACAGAGCCGAGGCCCAAGGTGCCCAGGGCAGCCAGCAGCACTAGCCTGCCAGGGGCTGGGACCTCCATTTACCAAAACTGGGCTCCCACCTGCTCGCTCCTTCTACTCATACTCAAAGGGGGAAAGATGGAAGACACCAGTGTAAATAACGGGAACAAAGGAGTACAGGGTCACTAAAGTGCAGGTGCAAAAACGAAAGCCATGCTCCCCACCCCCAATCTCTGCCAGCCCGGATTTGCCACCAAACCCTAGAGGGTATTTCTTAGTTCACAGTACTTTTATCTTCATTTATCTTGATTTAGAAACAAATCAGCAGGGAGGATGAGGTTCTCAAAAACAGAAAGATCAAATCTGAAATGAGAGTAATAAAATGCATTGGTGACATTCACTTCTCCCAGAGGAATATCTTGCTGCTATGATTCTGGAGGTAAAAAAGATCTTAATAAGAGTTGCAGCTCAAAGAAAAAAAAATCCAGAATTAGGACAAACTGACCCTCCACCATACAAACAGTAATTGATAAAATAAAAGCACATAAAATTATTTTAAAAATTCAGTTTGAAATAAAACATACACTAGATGCACAGCCAGCATGGGCATTGACCTATGAACCAGGAGGTCATGGTTCAATTCCCAGCCAGGGCACATGCCTGGGTTGTGGGCTCCATCCCTAGCGGGATGCATGCAGGAGGCAGCAGATCAATGATTCTCTCTCATCATTGACGTTTCTCTCTCTCTCTCTCCCTCTCTCTCTCTCTCCCCCTCTCCCTTCTTCTCTGAAATCAATAAAAATATATTTTAAAAAAACAACAGCAGCTAAAAAAAAAAAACAAAAACAAACCCATACACTAGACAGATCCACACTTAGTGGAAGGAATATGGGAAGCTTGGCTTCTGCTTTGTACCATTCTGTATTCTGAATTGTTTACATGTGCATTTTTTAAATCAGGAAAAGGTGATAATGAACAGGGATGACAATCCTTAAAATCAATTATCTGGAGAGGTACTTGGCCAGGGTTATACTGTGAATCTGATCTACTGGGCCAGTCAGCAAGATGTTTTGAGCCGAGTGCCTGCTCTGTAGCTGGCTTGAGCTGAACTGTGTTCCCTGTAGGAGTCTGGGAACAATTCCCAGTTGGGCCGCCAGCAACTCTTCACCCACGCCCTTGCTGAGCTGCAGATGGTGCATGCTGGCAACAAGGATGTGAGAGTACACTGAGCTCGGCTTTTGGGGAGAACCTTACCCAGCTCCTGCTGCTGCGAAGCCTTTCGGCGGCTTCGCTTTCTGGCAGAGGGTTGGCTGCATTTAGGAAATCTAGTCAATAATGTTTAGCAGGGCTCATCTGGGAAGCTGGAGGCCTATGTTTCTGAACTTATTTCTAGGAAGTGTAATCTAGAGCTCTGCTCCCTAACGTGGTTCCAGCAGCATTTGACATCATCTAGGAACCTCCTAGAAATGTAGAAGCACAGGCTCCACCCCACAGCTAGTGAATCAGATTTTGCTTTCTATCATAATGCCTATGAAAATCTGTGAAGTACAAAAAGCACAGATGGAAGCCTAGGGCATTCCCATCAGGTCTTGATTTTGTCACGTACTTGAGGTGAGAATTTAAGTGGGGGGTAGGGTAAGAGGATCATGATTTCTGGGCCTGAGTTTATTCATCTGTCAAGGAAGGGAGCTGTTGTAGCATACTTAAAGGTCTCTTCAGCTCTAACATATACATGAAGTCTCTTCTTAGTGATCTGAAAAGGGCAGGGGTGATGGTGGCAGCACCCCTAGAACCAGCTGCTGCATCTGAGCCAAATGCAAACCCATCGCTGTGCCCCACTGAGACTGCATAACCCTCCCATGAACCTGGGTTTTCCCTCCTTACCTTCTGGTCCAACAGCTGGTAATCACTGGCCTTTGGTCGCCGAGTAGGTTTGGTTTTTTTTCCTTCCAGGGCAAAAGCAATAATCTGGGGGAAGGAAAAAGAAAATGATTAACAACTGACTCTATAATGATATTTCAGTTTCTGAAATCAGAAATAATCACCTGGTAGTACATTTTTTCATAACCCTGACAGTAAAAAGAGCAGTACACCCATAAGGAGACTTATCTATATATATAAAACCCTAATATGCAAATAGACCAAATGCGGAACAACCAAATAACCAAACAACCGGTCACCATGATGTGTGCTGACCACCAGGGGCATGCGCAGAACATGGCGGGTGTCAGCAGCAGGCAGCAGAGCGCAGAACATGGCAGGCATCAGCCACAGCAGGGTGAGTGGAGGTGTTAGACCAAGGTGGGGGCACTGGTTGCTGTCATCAGGGCGAGCCTCTGTGGTTACTGAAAATTCTTTGCTCCTGCACACCATAATCCCACCTGGCGCTCACACCTGCTGCCGGTGCAGGCCCAGCTAACATCTGCAGCTGGCACTGGAGCCACCGCTCACACCCACTGTCAGCGCATGGCATCAGTCCCAATAGCTCAGGAGCAGAAGGTGGAGAAGCCCTTAGGGGCGATCGGGGCCAACAGCCACTGCTTACACCCACTGCTGGCGCTGGCCCCAATGGCTCTGTGCCTTCAGCAGGTGCAAGTGGGGCTGGCGCCATCAGCACATGGGAGCAGCAGGAGCAGGGTTGCCCACAGACAGGGGATGGTATGGGAGAGGGAGGCGGGCCATGATGGAAAGGGTCAGGAGGAGAGCCGTGGAAGATGGACCGAGACCCGCCTCTGGGCCCACCGCAGCCTCGCAGCCCTCGCATTCAAGGTGCTTGAATTCGTGCACTGGGTCCTAGTTTAAATTGTAACAATTTTAAGAACAGGGCTTAGTTTCATTACAATCATGTATACTGCTAAATCAGCAATGACAGAGGAAGGAAAGCTGTTCTGGGTTCTAGTTTGTGGGAGTCTGCTAATTTACTCAAGAATAGTCAAAGATCTGACAACTCATCCCTGGAGAGCTGTAGGCTAAGACACTTTTTTTTTTTTTTTTTTAAATAAAACAAACCATAAGCAATTATTCTTTTCTGCAAATGCTCTCTTTCAGCCCACACTTCGCTTCATCTTAACTTTACAATCATTTCATGCCTAAGGTTACTCTCCATGATGTTGGATGTAGAATAAGGCATGCACCATTTTACTAAATGAGTCCCCTCATTTCTTGTAGCCACAGGCCTTATGGCTATCATGAATTGAACTCTCCGATTTTGACCAGGCTACAGAAACTAATAAATTGTTAGAGTTCAATAAGAAATGCAATTACTGCCCTTGCCGGTTTGGCTAAAGTGTCAACCTGTGGACTAAAAGGTCCCATGTTTGATTCCGGTCAAGGGCATGTACCTTGGTTGTGGGCACATCCCCAGTAGGAGTGTGCAGGAGGCAGCTGACCAATGTTTCTCTTTCATCAATGTTTCTAGCTCTCTATCCCTCTCCCTTCCTCTCTGGGGGAGAAAAAAAAAATCAGTAAAATGTATTTTAAAAAAATGAAATGCAATTATTTAGTCATTGGAGTGATTGCTAAGTGACAGATTCTACTTCACACCAACCCTTAAGTAAAAGATGAGTATATCTATGCCAATTTCTGTTCTTCTAATCAGAAATTCAACTGACTACAAAGATAATCCCTGGGCTCTCTTGCTGTTGATGTCAAAGATTATGTAACCATTCTTTCTACCACTGTAGGGGGAAGACAAAAACTGAGCAAAGGAAGCTAGAAATGATGTACTGAAAGTAGAAACAGGAAGGTAAGAGCTCTAACTAATTACCAACTGCCAGGTCCTCAGGTCCTCTGAGGCTGTGAAGGATCTAAGTTCAAGATTACAAGAGACCCCAGAGCAGGTCAGACAGTAATAACATCCACACTTGGCACCTCATACAGCAGCAGAGAGCACTCAGAGGAAGCAGCCAGGAAAACAAATGATTTATAAAACAAGAGTAGAACCCTAGCAGGTTCTGGGGAAAAAACACTTGACATGTGATAAAATACCCAGTGCTCACAGGCAGCTAAGTGATGAATACTGGCCCGTACACTAAGCTTTCAGGGTGAAAGACATCCCATTCCTCTTAAGATAACTGTTGACTTACCTTCCGCTTGTTGTGATAGGCAATATAAAGAACAGCAACGAGAATGGCTGCAGTCACCAGATATGCAAAGAAGTGACTGCTCTCCGCACTTCCAAGATTGTCCTTATAAAGGTCATCCTTCTTCCTGTTTATGGAATCCCAAAGGGTCCCTTCAAGGTTCTCTCCAGAGGCAGGACCTGGCATTTCCTTCTCTTCTTTGGGTGGAGAACCCCCTTCAAGTTCAGAGCTGTCTTTTGTGGACTGCTGCTCCCAATCCAACTTGCCAGAACTGTCTTCCGTGGGCATGTGCTCCTTATCTGACTTGTCAGGACTTTTTTCCATGGAGTAGTGGTCCTTATCCGACTTGTCAGGACTGTCTTCCGTGGGCATGTGCTCCTTATCCGTCTTGTCAGGACTTTTTCCCGTGGAGTGTTGGTCCTTAACTGACTTGTCAGGATTTTTTTCCGTGGAGTGTTGGTCCTTAACTGACTTGTCAGGATTTTTTTCCGTGGAGTGTTGGTCCTTATCTGACTTGTCAGGCCTTTTTTCCGTGGACTTATCCAACTTTTCAGGACTGTTTTCTGTGGAGTGGTGGTCATTGTCTGTCTTGTTAGAACTGTTTTCCATGGACTGGTGCTCCTTATTCAACTCGCTAGGACTTTCTGTGGACGGGTGGTCATCATCTGACCGGCTGGAGTTGTCTCCTGTGGACTGTGGCGGTGGGTCTGACGGAGCAGAGCTGACAGCCATGTGCGGTATCGGAGCCTGTGAACCATTCTGAGGCAGGAGGCTGGGGGAAGGCTTGTTGGAGACTTTTCCTGCAGTCTTTGCCTTCTCAGTAGGTGACGGAAGAGAAGTGCGCTCATTGTCTTCTGAAAGAGAGAAACCAGTTGGCCCTCAAGAGAGGCAGGCCGTGGCCACCCAAGTGGATCAGTGATTGAGCGTGAACCTATGACCCAGGCAGTCAGGGGTCCATTCCCGGTCAGAGATCATGTCTGGTTTCGGCTTGATCCCCAGCAAGGGGTGTGCTGGAGGTAGCCGATCAATGATTCTCTCACAATTGATGTTTTTCTCTCTCTCTCCCTTCCTTCCTCTCTGAAATCAACGAAAAGAAAGAAGGAAAGAAAGAAGGGGGGGGTAAAGAAGAGAAAAGGAAAGGAAAAGAAAGACAAGAAAGAGGGGAAGAGAGGGGAGGGGAGGGGAGGCAGGCTGAGATAAAGGATTAAGGATCCTTCAGAGCTGGAAGAGACTAGGGCAAACGGCAAACGGCGGCGGCGGTGGCGGGGTGATGGTGAGGGGAGGGGTGAGTCGGGCAGGGACGAAGCAAGCTCAGCAGGCAACCGGCCATGGTGAGGGTGATGGGCCTGGGGGGCGAGAGTAGGATTTCCTTGGGGGCAGGGGTCTTACCCGCCGCGGCAACCACCACCAGGACCAACGCAACCAGGAACCGCATCCTGCAGACTGTACTTCCGTCGTCTACTGCTCTCGCGAGATCGCGCACGGACGCCGTCCTCGGAGCCCCGCCCCTTCCTGCGCGCGTCTGCCGCCGCGCCGCCGCAGAGGGCGGGCCAGGGGAGAGGTCGGGAGGTGTGGCGCTTCCTCCCCGCCGGGCAGCTCTTCTCATTGGCGGCACCCCGCGGTCCGGTTGCGTTCACCTTTGCCTGATCTCTTTGCTCCGTAGCATCCGCCACCCCCCGTCTCTCCCCGTTTCCTTCTTTCCCATCGAGCTTCCGAGACGATACAGGCTGAGCAGGAGCCCCCCGGCCTGTGGACCGTCCCGCGGGAATGACGCCGCCGGGGCCGGGCGCCTCCCCGCCCCATCCTCCCGTCGCCTTGGTAACGTCTCCCTTTCTCCCACCCAAGCGGAGCCATCCCGTCACCTGGGCCTCCCAGCTCCCCTCTGTCCCCGCACCAGGAAACTGCCCTCAGGTCGCCAGAGGCCTTTCCTAAAGTGCATCCTTTTCCTGACCACGAAAGCTATTCGTGTAAACTGTAGAAAATGTAGCGATCGTGTAGAAGTAGAAAGCAAAATCTTTGCCCCACATTCCCGAGATTTCACTATGTTTTGTTTTGTTTTATGTCCTGCAGACATTTAACATGTTTTTGATTAGGTAATACATTCCAATGACATAAAAGAAAATCAAAATGGGATTTCTAAAAAATAGCATACGTTAGAAAACTACCACTCCACAGGGTACCACTTAATTGGTTTATTGTTTCCATTTTGTGTGTGTGTGTTTTGTTATTTTTTTGAAAGTTGTATCTCTTGTCTTTTTTTTTTTGAAATATATTTTATTTATTTATTTATTTATTTATTTATTTATTTTTTACAGAGAGAAAGGAAGAGGACTAGAGAGCTAGAAACATCATTGAGAGAGAAATGTCAACCAGCTGCCTCCTGCACACTCCCTACTGGGGATGTGCCCGCAACCCGGGTACATGCTGTTGATTGCTATGACCTGGTCCCCCCAACTGCCCTTCCCTGCAGGCCTTTCCAAAGCTCTATCCACTGAGCCAAACCGGTTGGGGCTTGTGTGTGTGTTTTTAAAAAAACGTAAATACAGCCCTAGCTGGTTTCCCTCAGTGGCTAGAACATCGCCTGCAGACTGAAGGGTCCCAGGTTCCCTCCAGGTCAAGGGCGTGTGCCTTGGTTTCGGGAGTGATCCCCAGTAGGGAGCTGGGAAGGCAACTGATCATTGTTTCAGTATTTCCAACTCCATCCCTCTTCCTTCCTCTCTATAAAAATAAATTAATAAAAAATGTATTTTTAAAAAAATACATAAATACAAATGTACTTATTTTCCCCTTCTTAAATGTAATTTCTTGATCTTTTTTCTATGCATATTCATTTTCTCCCAAATTATAATCATTGGGTAAATAGTGTTGTATCCCACTGTTTATGATAACTGTTACGTTTATACATTACTTGCTTGAAATCATTTTATGCACATTGGCCAGGCTAGGTGCTTTGTAGACAGGCAGGGATTTAAAAAAAAAAAAATGACAGACCCCAACTTAATGGAACATGTAATCTAGAAGACTCACGAATATTAATCAGATACTTACACAAATGAGTGTGTGCTCAAAGAAATAAAGTACAGAAACCGCACTCTGTTGAGAAAGACCTTTGAGTTGAGGACCAAAGTGTGCAGGTGTTTTCCAGGTGAGGTTGAGGGAAGAGGAGGCTGAGTGTACAGCGTGTGCCGAGGCCTGCAGACTGGTGAGAAGCTGGTGTTTTGTGTAAATCTAAAGATGAGGATAGGATGGTCAGCTAACAACAAAAAGAATGGCAGGGGAGAGTCCGGTTAAAGAGTCAATGACCTGGGAGCTGTCCAGAATATAAATATTTATGGGACACAAAAGTGCATCAGAAAATATGCTAGTTAACTCAGACTGCAGTATAACCCCAGCGAAGGGACTGCAGCTGCCAGGACAGTAGCACTCCTCTGTAGTCTGCTGAGTACAATATTTGGGTTACATTGCATGAAGTTTTAGTTCATTGAAACTCTGTACATGGCACAAGTATAGTTTGTTGTTTAAAAACACCGTAATAGTGCTTCTCAACATTTCTCTGTTGTAAGAAAATCTCTCTTATATATACCCTCATTACTGAGGAGAGAATGAGGATCAGAGAGAAGCGAGAATCTGTTACTGAATTATTTCAGAACTCTGACTCTGCTTTGGCAAGAGGAAGGGAATTGGTAAATGAATTTGTATCTAAAAGAAAATTCTCTCCAGCTCATATATATATATATATATATATATATATATATATATATATATATTGGGCTAATATTAAAGAATAGTGGTTTAGTAGGGGTATGTTCAGAGAAAGGAAAGGCAGATTATTATTTTTTTAATTTTATTGATTATGGTATCACATAATTGTCCTCATTCCCTCCCCACATATGCCCCCCATCCCCCTGTTGTCCATGGCCACTGGCTAGGCCCATATGCATGCACACAAGTCCTTTGGTTGATCTCTCTCTCTTACCCCCACCCTCCCCTATTTTCCCTCTGAGGTTTGAGAGGAAAGGCAAATTATTAAGCCTGATCATATGTCCACATTACTAGGCAGAAAGGAAAGAAGGGTCCAAATCCTACAGATTGAGCCATGCCCAGGTTGTACATTTTATCTTAATAGTAATTAGAAGCCATCAAAGAGGTTTAAATAGGAAAAAGATATAATCCTAGGTGGAAATTAAAAAAAAATTCTCACCCAAAGATATGTTTTTATTAATTTTAGAGAGACTGGAAGGGAGAGAAGGAAGGAGGGAGGAAAGGAGAGAGAGAGAGAGACATCTGAAACCTAGGTTATATGCCCTGACTGGGAATTAAACCTGCAACCCCTTGGTGTATGGGGCAATGGTCGATGTATCTCTCTCATTGATGTTTCTAGCTCTCTATCCCCTTCCTTTCCTCTCTGTGAAAAATCAATAAAATATATTTAAAAACAAAACAAAACAGACAGATATGACTGGCAGAACAAGGTACAAGAGTTGAAGGGCTGGGGTCTAGGGGACAGGAGAGCAGTTGACTTTGGGTTGAACAGAGGTTGACCTTGAGGCCTAGGGTAGGGCAGAATGTTGAGTGGATGGATATTTAGGTTGGGATATGGGAGATTAAAATAGAACATTTCAACTGGCCTCCATGTAATTTAACTTTATTTTTAAAATATATGCTTGGTGATTTCAGAGAAAAAGGGAGCGATAGAAACATCATTAAGAATCTTTGATCTGGCTGCCTCCTGCACACCCCAAACTGGGGATAGAGCCACAACTTGAGTATGCGCCCTGACTGGAACAGAACTTGGACCTCCTGGTTCATAAGTCAATGCTCAACCACGGAGCCACACTGGCCGGGCTGGTTTGTTTAGATTTTGCTCTTGTAAACAATGCTGCGCAAACACTTGTTTTTCATGTCTTCCGGTGTGCTGACGCATGCGAGTGTACCTGCTGTGCTTCCTCGGCATCTTTCTCCATACGCCTCTCACCTCACCATGTTCTTGTAGTTTTTTCTGCAACACAGGATATTGCCCATGGCCGCCCTCCTCCAGACCCCTGATGGAAGCTCCTAAAAGAAGTATTTTTCATTTGTGAATAGCTGTTCTTGGTGCTCCACAAGAGAACCCATGGTATGTTGCAAAATATGCATTACTATTTAGGTAAAATAAGCCAGACACAAAAGGACAAATATTATATGAATCTATTTATTAAACCGGTAATTCTAAGTTCTTATCTTGCTTCAACTCTGTGCTGAACCTAGAATAGGCAAATCTGGAATTCAGGATGTAGCTTAAAAGTCCTTGAGATCTGGGGGGGAGAAGGGAGTGGGGTAGTGGGTACAGAGTTGCTGTTTGCGAGATGAAATGGTTCTGGAAGTCAATAGTGATTATGGTTTCAGGGCGTTATAAATGTACTTAATACCATTAAATTGTCCACTTAAAAAGTTTAAAATAGTGAATTTTATATGTGTTTTACCACAAGTTTTAAAAAAGCTATATATCCAAGAAGAGTAAAAAAACCTGGCAAGTACTCATAAAAAGGAGAAGGAAGACTAAATTATTTTACCAAGGCTCAAAATAAAAAGAAATTCTGATACATGCAGAAATATGGGTGAACTTTGAAAACATTGTGCCAAGTTATATAAACCAGGCACAAAAGGACAAATGTTTTTATTCCAATTATATGAAATATTCAGAGTAGGCAGATTCATGAAACACAAAGTATATTAGAGGCACCAGGGGCTGGGGGCAGGAAGAATGAGTTGGGGTAATAAAAAGTTTCAGAGTTTATGGTGATGGCTGCACAACATTTTGAGTATAATTAATGCTCCTGAACTATATACTTAAAATGGCAAATTTTGTTACATATAACTACCATAATTTAAAAAAATGAAGAACTGCTAAAACCAGTTTGGCTCAGTAGATGGAGTGTTGGCCTGCAGACTGGAAGGTCTCAGGTTTGATTACGGTCAAGGGCATGTATGTACCTTGGTTGCAGGCACATCCCCAGTAGGCAGAGGCAGGCCACCCCCCTACAACACGCAACACAAGGGCCACCCCCCTACAAGTGCAGGAGGCAGCTGAATCAATGTTTCTCTCTCATTGACATTTCTAACTCTCTATCCCTGTCCCTTCCTCTCTGTAAAATAAATAAATAAAAATAAAATATATTTTAAAAAATTAAAAACTGAAGTACTGATACATACTACACAAAATGGATGAACATGAAATATGCTGATTCAGTGAGAAAGAATCATGTATTATTCTACTTAATGAAATGTCTGTAGTAGCCAAATCCAGAGACAGGAAGTAGATCAGTGGTTGTTTGGGGCTGCAGGAAACAGGGCGAATTACACAGGGTATGGATGGGTTCTGTGTTGGTGTTTTTTTTTGAGGTGATACAAATGTTGGGGACAATGTTGGTACACTGGGTCCTGAATATCTCAATAAAGCTGTTACAGAAAAATTAATTGCAGGACTAGGTACCATGCAAAGCAGACAAAAGATGCCTCTCATGTTTTGGCAGTTAAAAGGCAAAGGGAAGGGAGGGTTCCTTGCTTTGGACCAGTTAGTGATACTGACTGGTTGAATGAACATTCGAGGCTGGGCTGGATGTGTCTGATTGTGTCCTTTAGTTCCCTCTCCAAAGCGCTCATCCCCTTAGCATGTCCGCAAAACTAGCACAGGGCTTGGTGTGAAGAAGGGGACTGGATTCAACAAAAGGATTAAGACACTCAAAAGGTCTTGCAACTGCAATTTTATTTTCTTTTGTGAAAATAAACAGCTTATTGGGAGTTCAAATTGCTCCAAAAACCCCATAAAAACAAAAAGAAATACACACAGAAGCATGTGAGGTGACGGGAAGGGAGGGTGTTCAGAACTTTGGCAGACGGCTGGACCGAGCCTCGGAGCAGGTCCCGTCTGCCGCTCTGGGCCCGTGGAGGGGAGATCTCGACTGGTAAAGGGCGGAACATGGACATCGTCCCTAAGGAAGTGGCAGGCACCTTGAGTCCCTTTGTGTGCAGGGAAGAACCATTTCGGAGGAGACCTTTCCCCTCGAAGGCTGGAGGCTGGAGGGTGGGGCCCGTGGGGGAAGGGGTGCCGGTGGAGACAAACCAGGCAGTGTCTTCTCACAGCGTGACAGCCCTATCCCGGGCGGAGGACGAAAGGATGGGAACCCAGGGAGCTGAGCAAAGAACTGGGGCGAGATCCAAAGAAATGCCCAGGAATGGGATCTAGACGAGGAAGCAACAGTGGCCACGCAGCCCCGTGTGGGGCTGGGCACAGAGGGAGGCGAGAGGAGGGGGGAGGCGAAGCTCAGAGGTAGAGAGAGGAGGGCCTTTGCCCAGGTCCATCCACCACTGCACGTAAGGGAAGAATGACACACTACTTTTCAGTTCTTTCTTTCAAAGGTTTTTTTTTTTTGTGGGTTTTGTTTGTTTTTTAAAAAAGCCTTAAGGTCAGCTACTGGTTACATCTACAAAATGTAAAGTGCTGCTGTTACCAGTCACTTTACAGAACAGTCCAGGGTGGTCAAATATTGACCAATAAAGTTTCCTTTTATTTTATTTTTTCCTTCCTCTTCTGAATCGTTACTACTTGATGTGTCACTTGACAGCCCGCGTAGGTCACAGGGCAGCTTAGTGGGCGGACTTGGTGACCAAGGAGAGGGGCTGGGCCTGGAGCACGGGGACGGCCTGGTGTGCATGGAGCGTGGCCGGGAAGGAAGGGGGGGAAGTCAGCAGAGCCGTGGGCACGGACCCGAGGGGCAGAGGCCGGGAGAGGAGCGGGGGCTGGCTGCCCATCTGGCCAGGGGACGTGGCCGCAGCCTTAGCTGACAGGAAGGCAGCCGAGTGAAGAGCCAGCTGGGCCCGGGCCTCCGGCTTGGTGGTGAGGGAGAGGGGCTGGGCTTGCTCCGAGTGGGTGGCAGCAGGCGCAGCCGGGGAGGCCAGGGCTGCGGAGGGGGTCGCCGGGGAGTCGAGCATGCTGCCATGGGAAGAGGCAGGGCTGTCACAGGGCTTCTCGGGGGGCAGGTACTGCACACACGGCTTCTTGCTTTTGGAGGCCAGAGCACCTGGGGAGGAACACAGGGAAGAGTGAGCAGCCAGAAGCTCTGGCGAGGCAGAGGCTGCAGCAGAGGCCTGGCTGTGCACAGCATCTCTGGAAACACGGGAATGCCTCCTGGGAGGGAACCGAGGACCCGGAACCGCATCCAAAGCTTTAAGAGAAGGGAGCTGCATTCAGGGACGCCGAGAACAGAGAGAAGAGGCAACGCCAGTGACCACCACCAGTTCAGTGTCCGACGGGAGGGAAGACAACAGCTCCGTCTACCGCACCATTGTCTTCCCTGCCCACAGCTCATCACTTGGGGAAGGATCTTTAGTTTATGGTGCTATCGGCAGTACTGTGCCACCTGCTAAGCAGCGTGGCATGCAGTGGATTTTTGCAGCATATTCATAATTTATGTATGTGTGCTCATATGTAGATGAATGGAAGGAAGGAAGGAAGGGCACTTAGATGGTGGTGGCTTTTTATACCCATCCTGTAGTGAGCAGGAGATGAGAGGCGTGACTAAGTGCCTGTCACAGTGTGAACATCTGGGCCAGGTGTGATTCTGGTGCACACATTTTTTGGGCACAAGGTGGCCCCTGAACTTGAGCAACTATTTCTGCTGGTGTTCGACCAACCAGACTCTGGCAGCAAAGCTGATTCTGCTGGGCCCACGGAAAGCCCCTACTCTCCGCCTTGCGGAGGGGATTTCCACCACATTCCATTTTTATCTCACGCACCGACTTCAGGACCCAACCCTCCAATAAGATGCGACTGAAGCGGGTTCCAAAGCGCCCAGGGTTCAAAGGGAGAAAGTGCTGGGATCCACTCCCTGAACTCCCCCGGCTCTGCGCTGGCCACTTCTCACATGGCAATGCTCCCAGGAGCACACGAGGTGGGCCCCGGGGCAGGCAGCTGCTCCCCAGCACGGCCGCCGTGTCCACCGGCTCCCTGAGACTCACCCTCTGCCTCGTGGACTTGCTGCTGGGACTGTGTCTGCGACAGCTGCTTCTCTCTCTTCCTCTTCTTTTTCTTACCCTAGAAAACATGGCCGAAGGAAGAGGCCACAGAGAGAACACCTGGCTTTTCAAGGGGGGTGCCCGGATAAGAAGGGGGCCACTCACCCCCGCCCCCTAAGTCTCAGAAGTGTGTCTTCCTGGAGTGCCCACCCCACCGATTCCTGCCCTCCAGCTGGGGGTGGGGGGCATCTTTGGAAAGGCCCCGCCCCATCGCTGCACTTCAGACTTGTCTTTCTGTTTCTCTCCCTAGAGCAGTGTTCTCGACCTTCTGGAGGGGTCCTGGGTCCCAATGAAAAAATCTAATCCAGCTACCAACCCTCTGAGCAGAAGAAAGCAAATAACCTACACATCAAAACCTGCCTAGTTTCAGGGACATAGTCGTGCTGGCTGAGGTCACGTGCTGGCCACTCCGCCCCAGGCCGGGAACCCCTGGTCACATTCCTAAGGTGACCAGACGTCCCGATTTTCAACAATTTGTCCTGCGGCGTTTTTTTAAAAAAAAGTCCCGATTGTCGGAAAGATTCTTTCCAACAATCGGGATTTTTAAAAAAATGCTGCTAGCCAGGACTGGTTTGGCTCAGTGGATAGAGCATCGGCCTGCGGACTGAAAGGTCCCGGGTTCGATTCCGGTCAAGGGCATGTACCTTGGTTGCAGGCACATCCCCAGTAGGGGGTGTGCAAGAGGCAGCTGATCGATGATTCTCTCTCATCGATGTTTCTAAGTCTCTACCCTCTCTCTTCCTCTCTGCGAAAAATCAATAAAAAATATTAAAAAAAAAAAAAAAAAATGCCGCGAGACAAATTATTGAAAGGCGGGACTGTCCCACTAAAAGCGGGACACCTGGTCACCTTACACATTCCGCCGCCAGCCCTAGCCCTGAAGTATCGAGTCGAAGGCCGAGTCCCATCCAACGGGAGGGGCCCAGATTTAAGTCTGCTGTCAGGACACCAGAACCGTGTCCTTGTGGACCCGCCTTCCTTATTTCTAGAGAAATACAGGCAGCCCTGGCCCCAGGAGTCCCCGCCGTGTCGCTGACTCCCCCCCCCCTCCCGAGCAGGTGCTGCTTGGGGCCCTGGCGGCACTTACGTAGTTGTCCCGGGCCGACCAGGTCGGGTAGAGCTGCGAGTGGAGCTGCCGCTCCTTCCGGGCCAGCTCGTAGTACTTGGCCTGCTCTTCCCGGGACAGGTTGTGCCACTGCAGGAGGGAGGGAGAGGGTCAGAGACGGAGTGCGGGACTCGGGGACGCAGCCACAGCCTGGCGGGCGGGCGACTCACCTTTCTCCCCAGGATCTGATTGATGGCGGCACTCTCCTTCAGGGTGCACTCAGCCACCACCTTGGCCCGCATCTCCTTCATGTATAACATGAAGGCGTTGAGAGGCTTCTTCACGTGGGGCTTCTTCTCTTCCTCCTTCTTCACCGTGACTGGCGATTTCCTGGGGAGTGGGTGCGCAGGCGTCAGCCGGCATCCCGCTCCCCACCCCCTGCCTCCCACTGGCACCGAGAGCCACTGCTCTGGGGAGGGAGCTGCTCAATGAGCATTCCAGCGGCCATGGCTGCTCTCAGCACCTGGTCCCCTCCCACTAGGTGATCCAACCCAACCCTCTTGGACCACCCAGGCCACACCCAATGGAGGAGAATTCCCTGATGGAGGAGTGGGGGGGGGGGCTGGGCTGTACTGGCCGCAGGTGGTAGATGAAGGGGCAGGGCACCCTGGGCAGAAACAAGGGTGAGCACTCCTGGGCCATGAGGCACTGACTGGCATCCTGCCCTTCACAGCCCTGGCGCTGGTCTCGGTCCTGTCACAGCCCTGTGACCTGAGAAAAGCCTCCTTTCTGGGCCTCACATTTTCACGTGCATCGTGGGGGAAAGGAAGTTAAAGGCTTTCTCCGATCCTCTTGCAGCCTCTAAATCCTGACTGTAAAATTTATTTATTTTTTAATTCTCACCCGAGGATATTTTTTCCATTGGTCTTTGGAGAGTGGAAGGTAGGGAGAAGAAGGGGAGAGAGAGGGGGAGAGAAAGAGAGAGAGGGAGAGGGAGAGGGAGAGGGAGAGAGAGAGAGAGAGAGAGATGACCTATCGATAGTTGCCTCCCACATATGCCCAGACTAGGGTTGGCATTGAACCTGGGACCCATTGGGCCGAGGGCTAATGCTTTAACCACTGAGCAACTGGCCAGAACTGTAAAATCTTTATTTATTTAAAAAAATATATTTTTATTTACTTCAGAGAGGAAGGAAGAGGGAGAGATAGAAACATCAATGATCTAAAAAAATCATTGATCTGCTGCTGCTTCCTGCACGCCCCCTACTGGGGGACACAACCCTACTGGGGATCCAGCCTGCAGCCTGGGCCTGGGCCCTGACCGGGCATCAAACCGTGACCTCCTGGTTCATAGGTCGACACTCATCCTCTGAGCCACGCCCGGTCAGGCTGTAAAACCTTTTTTAGTGAGGAAGGATGCGGAGTGTCTCAGAGCCAAAGGGAACGATCTCTGGGGAGAGGACTGGGCTGGGGGAGGCCGCTGGGCTGCCTGCTCCGAGCCACCAGGAGGGAGAAAGAAATCCCAAGTGCTGCTCAGAGGCTGGCGACCGGCCTCGGCCACTGTGACTCACGCGCTCACGGCTGGGCTCAGGCTGGGGGGCGCCGGCTCCTGCTTGACGATGGGGGAGACGATGGCGGGGTGGGGAATCCCTGAGGTGGGCAGACCAGGATGGGTGGGAGCCACCATGTGAGGGGAGAACCGGCTGGAAACCAGGCTGTGGAGCAGGTGGAAAGGACGAAAGAGGGATTCAGGCCGGGGGCTTGTCCGCAGTGGGTGTGGCTGGCCCTGCCCTCAGGCAGAGGCAGGTCAGCACCTCTGCGGTGGCCACCCCCCTACAAAAGCACAGGGTTCCTATTTCCCGTGTGGAGGTGGGGAGGAGGAAAACCAGGGTGTACGACGGAAAAATATGGGCGTATTGGGTTGCATTTCCTCTGTCACTGTGGATACCCTGGCCCTGCACATAACTCTCCTTTCCGTCTGCCCTCCCCTGGCATCCCTGAGGGGAAATCGACCCTCCTCCGCCTCTGGTGTCAGTGTGAACTGAGTTGTATACCTACGATGCATGTACTACCCTATTTCCCCGAAAATAAGACAGTGTCTTATATTATTTTTTTTCTCCCAAAGTTGTGCTAGGTCTTATTTTCAGGGGATGCCTTCTCTTTCCATGCGCTAGGTCTTATTTTCGGGGAAACACGGTATTACGCTTGTTCTACTTCAATAAGAAGTGGGTTACACAATCGTCTCCATGATTCAGGCTGAGGAAGGGTTTTCACCAGAAGTGGGCTCACAGAGCTTTCAGACTCAAAGGCAAGGCAGGCAATACAAGAAAGTAAAGCCGGACAGACACAATCTGGGAAAACCCTAAAACCCCTCAGCAGTGGTTCTGAGTGTGTCCGGACCAGACACACCAGGAACTGGAGTAGAAAAAACAAAAAAACCACCACAAAGCCCGGTGTGCGGGAGGGCAGGACCAGGGGCTGAGTGGCAGGGCTTGGAAATTCTCTGAGAGACACCCGGGAAGAGGGGACCTGTGGGTGTGGGGGTCCTTCCCCCCACAGGGCGGGGGCCTCACTGGGGAGGTGCGAGAAAAGTGGGCCTGGGCCTCCTCGGTTGCTGCCCAAAGAAAGCTGCTTCGTGGGCGGAAATGGCAAGGACACTCGCAGACGGCCATTCCCCGCACGGCCACTTGGGGCTCACAGCCCGCCCGGACTCACCTGGACATGGAGGCGTTCATGGCGAGGGCAGGGTAGGGGTGCCGGAAGCCTCCAGGAGGGAGGGAGTACATGGGCTGTCCTTGCCTGCAGGGGCCAGGAGCAAGGAAACCTGGTCAGCATACTGGCTACCATGGGGACATTCAGGGTGGGAAGAAAGGATGAGGAAGAAAGGGCAGGAAGTAGGAGAAGGCCTGGGAGGAAGCTGGGGGAGGGGGTCTGAGCTCGGGGCTTTGGTGAGAGGGGCCCCTGGGGGTGGGGCAGCTGGAGGTGCAGAGCAGAGCTCGGCCTAAGGATGGGACGGGGTAAGAGGGGCTCCAGGTTCCTTACTGTGGGACGAGCCAGCCGAGGGGGTGGGGGATTTGTCCGACGGCTCCGGGAGACAGCGGGTAATACGGAGACAGCTCCGACGGGTGAGGCGGCCGGGGGATTCCTGCTTCCAAAGAGAGAGGTGTCAGACGGTTCCCCGGCCCTACTGGACCACCTGGAAAAGCCCCAGGTCCCCACGGGTTCTGGAGCTTGGCAGCTTCTTTCTCTCGAATCCCTGTCCTCTGTCAGCTCCCAGCCCCTCGGGCCCGCTGGCCAAGGATATTCACGGAGGCAGGCCTAGAGAAGCCTCTCCGGCTACCTGGATACCCTTCCTGTGGGCAGGACGAACCCCCAGCTGCCGGTACAGGGGTTAGTGGCCAAGACAGAGACAAGAAAGCCTGGCCCCACAGACCCCGGTGCCCCCCGTCATCAGCTGCCCGCTTCTCTAGGAAACCTGCCCCGTCTACGGAGAAACGAACTCTGGACCCCAGGTCCACAGGTGTCCTCCTTATCCGCAACTTGTCTAGCTATTTCCCTAACGCGGGACCCTTAAATACTCTGAGCCACGGTAACTGGGGATTTTATTAAGACTGTGGCTCCCTGGGATAGATAGGGTGAACAAGCTAAAACAAAAACAACAACAACAACAAAAAACACACAAAAAAACCATCAGCTCAGCCCTGCTGCCCGATAGCCTGGCGGGAGGTGGGTACTCCATTTGAAACATTTAGGGTTGAATTCTCGTTCAGGAAGGCACAGCTGGCACTGGGCTAGATTTCAAAGTTTAAAAAAAAAAAGAGAGAGAGAGAGATCCTTTCCCCACTGCCAGATCACTCCACTCCCCAAGTGCTGAGATTCTAAAGTAATAGAAACAGAGACGGAGACACACCACATGCTCGCTGTGCACCATCTCCCTTACTTCCCTTACCCGACGCTAAGCCTGTGGCACGGAGGGCACAGACAAGGTACAGGTGGGAAACCGAAGAGGCTAAAAGCCAGTGGCCGAGGCTGCAGACAGCTGAGGACTCGGTCTGGACCCAGGTCCAGTGGGTGCTCAAGGAGCAGCCTGCCCCGCCCACAGCAGCGGACTCACCTGTCTTTGGGTCGATCTCTGGGGAGAGGTGTGTGGGCGGGGAGCCCGGGGGAAAGTGGTCGCTGCTGTAGGTGATGAGAGGCGTCAACGGGTGCATGTGGTGCGGGTGCTGAACGACAGGAACTTTGTTCGACTGAAAGACATGGAGAGAAAGACTAGGGACAGTTGCCGAGGAGATGGAGAGTGAAATCAGCGGACAGTCACCGAGTCGAGGAAGGGCCAGGCATTTTCCTTGCACCGTCCCATTCGGTCCTCACACGGCCCTTGATCGAAGGGAGCGGGCCACACGGCAGGAAGGGACCAGCAGGAGCAGCAGAGACGAGGCCCACCCTCCAACAAACCCTCTTCTAAACACACGTGTGTGCAACGTATGTTCAGCTCACATAACCAGTGCCGCTTTCAGATGCACAGACACAGCCCTGTGTGAGGACGGTGCACCTCTCCCAGCCTCACTTCACTCTGCCGACCTAGTCACCTCGCCGTTTCACTGCAAACGCTAGCTAATGTACAGAGTACCATTATTTCATATAATTATTAAGAAAGAAAAAACCCGTGCATATCAACATATCCTGATTTCAGAAATGTTAAAATGGGAAAACCATGTATGTCCTAGTATTGGTAAATTAGTTCATTTTACCATGTATGTCCTGGTAAAATGAACTAATTTTTTAAATGCCTTACAGTAACTTAACAATAGGATCTTCCTTATACAAGCACAGAACGAAGCATACTGCCTATGCCTTATTATAACCTGGCCAAGCAGCAATGGTCATTGCCATCGAAGACACCGAGCTCAGAAAGGTCAGGTGACTCAGCTGGCAAGTGGCAGAACTGGACCCATATCTCCCCTTCCTCTGTACTATTGGCCTCCCCAAGAACCTGGCCAAACATCTCAGTCAGAGAGAAAGAATAGACATACCTTTTATTTTAGGTAAAATTTTTAAAAATTTATATATTTATTTCAGAGATAAAGGGAAATATAGAAACATCAATGATGATAGTCATTGATCATTTGCCTCCTGCATACCCCTTACTGGGGCTCGGGCCTGCAACCTGGGCATGTGCCTTTGACCGGAATTGAACTGGAGACTCTTCAGTCTGCGGGCTGATGTTCTACCCACTGAGCAAAACCAGCTAGGGCTTTTTAGATGAATTTTTAAAATAAGGTGACAGACTTGCAAGTAGATTTTTGTGTAGCAAAGAGATTTGTAAAAAGGATGGCGATTTGGAGGCAGCCCCTGGGCTGGAATGCCAAACAGCTGTCTTACGGTTTGAACTTTTCATGCCATAGATGCTACAAGCCCCTTTCCCCTTTCATATGATGCCCATTTGGTACGCCTAATGAAAACTCCAGCCTGTGCATCTCCTAGCGTCTGTGTGCTGACGGCAGTCGTGTTCCATGTTCAGTAGGCTAAGCAGAGATGGAGGCGGAATAGTGGAGCAGGATGGGAATCCGGGGCTTTAGCTCCCAGGCCATTCTGAACCACAACCACTAGGTGGCGCTGACTGGGCCCTGCAGGTACCTGACCATGAACAAACTTCCTATCACCTGGCCACAGCGGGCTCATAATTACAGAATGATTACAATAAAAATAAATAAACCCCATGATGGAAAAAAAAAGACTAAATATTAAGTACACCAAGATGTAAACAGTAGCTATGTTTGAGTGGCGGAACGATGGGTGATTTTGTTTTGTCCTTTCTGTATTGAAACTACTGGTATGCTATAAAGCATCAGGAAATACGATCACACCAGCCCAACCCAGTCACTGTTATCATTGTGGTACGTTATGTCTCCACTCATGAAGACTCTGCGCATGTTTTGTTTCTAAATGTGATATGTATAGAGAGAAACATCGATGTGAGAGAGAAACAGCGATGCGAGAGAGAGAAATAGCAACAGGCTCTCTCCTGCATGTACCCTGACCAGGAATCAAACCTGCAATCTGGGAGGCAGCCCTATGGTGCATGGGACTATGTTCAACCAACTGAGCCACCCATGAGCGCATGTTTTTTATTTACATCATTTTAAAAATATATATTTTATTGATTTCTTACAGAGAGGAAGAGAGAGGAATAGTTAGAAACATCGATGAGAGAGAAACATCGATCAGCTGCCTCTTGCACACCCCCTACTGGGGATGTGCCCGCAACCAAGGTACATGCTCTTGACCGGAATCGAACCTGGGAACCTTTCAGTCCAGACCCTCTATCCACTGAGCCAAACCAGTGTTGGCTACATAATTTAAAAAAAAAAAAAAAAAAGGTTTTTTTCAGCGTTACTAAGGTTTAACTGACAAATAAAATTGTAATATCTTTAAAGTGTACAGTGTGATGATTTGATATATATATATCCACTTAAAAATACCTAATGGTATTATGAAATCTCGACTGCCCATGTGCTGTTGAGCGGACTCAGCAGGAGTGGCAGGGTTAAGTAGAGGCAGGAAAATGTGAGTTACATTTGGAAATGTAGGTACAGTAGCTTAATGTAGACGCCATTACATCATTGGTTCCCAGTAGGTGGCAGCATTGTTCAGAGCGAGGAAGGCAAGGTTTCAGATGTAGTCCATGGGCTAGTAAGCAAGAGGGCTCCTTGGGGCTGACTCAGAAAGGCTAACCCTAACCATCCCAATAAAAGTTATTGCTTTTTCTCAGGCCCAGAGTAGAAATGCTGGAACACTCCACCCCTCTCCACTTCTCAGCCGATAGCCCAGTAAAAACAATCATGTAAGTGCCTGGCTGGCATGGCTCAATGGCTATGGACCTGTGAACCAGGAGATTATGGTTTAACCCGGTGCACGAAACGTGTGCATGGGTAAGGTCCCTAGGCCTGCCCGATGATCGGGACTGATCAGGCTCCTTACCTTCCCACCGCCTCCTTCCCTTGCTTTCTCAATGACCCCACCACTGCCACTGGTTGCCTGCCATTTTCAACGCTATCCCCTGGTGGTCAGCACAAGTCATAGCGAGCAATCGAACTCCCGGTCTCCTGGTTGGGCTCCCAAGGGGACACTCTGCATATTAACCTTTAATATATATAGATTCCTGGTCAGGGCACATGCCCAGGTTATGGGCTCAGTCCCCAGTGGAGGGTGTGCAGGAGGCTGCCGATCGGTGATTCTCTCTCCTACTGATGCTCTATCTCCCTCTCTGAAATCAATAAAAATATACTTTAAGAAAACAATCACATAAGCAAAGGCACAGGTGTTCACCCAGCAAGGCAGCCAAAGCCAGAGTTCCTCACAGAAGAGCATCTCACAGCCTCCTTGGACCTAAATCCTTCTGTCTAGGCAAGCACACCCCACTCCTCCCTGGATCAGGTGTCTCACACGGACTCCGTCTGCTTCCAGAGTTGGTCCAAGCCAAAGTCTTCAAACCCCTGCTCCCCAGGAGTGTTCTAGCCAAACACACACAGCCTGACCCTGACCGCAAGGACACACCAGACAAACCCAAACAGAGGGTCATTCTCAAAAAATGTCAGTCAGGTCAGGAAAGACAGAGGCTAAGGAACGCACTAAAAAGCAAAGGAGACTGAAGAGGCACAACAATGAAATTTGACGTGTGGTCACGGACTGAACTCCAGGAAGTAACCACGTGGCTGTAACAAATAATGACTGGGACATTTACCAAAACTGGGATATATTGTATACTGTGTTAGATAATAATATGGAATGCCAATTTCTTGATTTTGATAACTGTGCTGTGATTGCTGTGCTCTCACAGGAAATACATCTAAAGTGTTCAGGGCTAACGGGGCACAATGTCTCCAACTTACTCTCAAGTTGTTTTTAAAAAAATCTGTGTGTGGCTGGGCCGGTGTGACTCAGTGGTTGACACGCCCAGGTTCTGGGCTTGATCCCCAATGGCAGGCGTGCAGGAGACAGCCAATCAGTGATTCTCTCTCATCATTGTTGTTTCTCTCTCTCCCTTCCTCTCTGAAATCTATTTTAAAAAATATATACATATATATATAAAAACACCCATGTGTGAGAGAAAAAGGCAAAGCATGGGCAAAACTTTTGAATCTGGATAAGGTGCATATGGGAGTTCCTTGTATTATTCTTACAATTTCCCCAGATGTTTAAATTTGTTCCCAAATAAAAAAAAAATAATACTGCCCTGGCTGGTGTGGCTCGGTTGGTTGGGCATCGTCTCATGCACTGAGGGGTCTTGGGTTCGATTTCTGGTCAAGGTACATACCCATGTTGCAGGTTCAATCCCTGGTTGGAGTCTGTACAGGAGGCAGCTGATTTATACTATTTTATATATATATATGAAAATATTTATTTTATTGATTTTTTTACAGAGAGGAAGGGAAAGAGATAGTTAGAAACATCGATGAGAGAGAAACATTGATTAGCTGCCTCCTGCACACCTCCTATTGGGGATGTGTCTGCAACCAAGGTACATGATTTTTAAAAAAATACATTTTATTGATTTTTTACAGAGAGGAAGGGAGAGGGATAGAGAACCAGAAACATCAATGAGAGAGAAACATCAATCAGCTGCCTCCTGCACACCCCCCACTGGGGATATGCCCGCAAACCAAGGTACATGCCCTTGACCGAATTGAACCCGGAACTTTTCAGTCCACAGGCCAACTTTTCAGTCCACAGTCTTCTATCCATTGAGCCAAAACTGATTAGGGCCAAGGTACATGCTCTTGACTGGAATCAAACCTTTTGGTCATTTGCTGAAAGGGATTTAAAAAAAAGTTAACGCAAACCCCAAAATGGGGATCGAGCCCACAATCTGGGCTTATGCCCCGACCAGAATTGAATCCTGACCTCCTGGTTCATAGTTCAACACTCAACCATGAGTCATCCAGTAGGGCCGGTTGCTTAGCTTTTTTTTTTTTTTTTTTTTTTTTTTTAAATATATATTTTATTGATTTTTTTACAGAGAGGAAGGTAGAGGGATAGAGAGCTAGAAACATCGATGAGAGAGAAACATCGACAAGCTACCTCTTGCACATCCCCTACCGAGAATATGCCTGCAACCAATGTACATGCCCTTGACCGGAATCGAACCTGGGACCTTTCAGTCTGCAGACCGATGCTCTATCCACTGAGCCAAACCGGTTTTGGCCGGTTGCTTAGCTTTGAGAGCTTGTTTAGAAGGCATAAAATC